CCATCCCCTTGTCCTCCTTACCAATCCCTCCTCCCGTCCCCTCGTTCTCCCCACCATCCCCCACTCCCCCGTCCCCTTGTTCTTCCCACCATTCTCCATTACCTGTCCCCACTATTCCCAACACCCCCGTCCCCTCGTCCTCCCCACCATTACCCCCCTTCCCTGTCCTCTGGTCCGCTCCACCATACCCCACTCCCATCCTCTCGTGCTCCCCCACCATTCCCCACTTCCTCGTCCGATGCATTCCCAAATGATCTGATGTTCCCATCACTGAAATTTAAGAAAAACAGTTATAAAAATGAAATGAAAAACAATGAAAAAAAAATTATACCCATGAAATGAATGGTATGGTAAACAACACAGCTCAATTCCAATGCAATCAGAAAATAGTTAAATCAAAAAGAAAATAAATTGAAGTCTATGAAAAATAAATTTATAAATGAAATCATAAACATTGAAATGGAATCGTAACATATTTAGTATTGTGTGTGTTGCTCTTAAGTGCAACAGATGGCGCTATATTAAAAAAAAAACATTTTTACCTGTCACAGGTGTGGCATCTATATGTATACTTACAAAATGAACGGTTTGGTAAACACAACTCGATTCCAATGCAATGTCACAAAATAATTAAATCATAATGAAAATAAATCTAAATATGAAAATTCAATTTATCAATGCAATTGAAAACATTGAAATGGAATTGTAACATTTAGAATAAAGTCTGTTGCTATTACGTGCAACAGATGGCGTTGTTTTAAAAAAAACGTGTTTTTACTTGTCACAAGTGTGGCATCTAAATAGCAGGTATATAAAAACTCGCGCATATTCGAACGGAATGTTGTGTCAAAATTTCAAAGCAATCGGTTAAGAACTTTCGGAGATTACAGCACATGTTGCTCTTCAGTCCAGCCGATGGTGCTGTTTTTCACAAAAAGCATGTTTTTTCTCTTCACAGGTGAGGTACGTATATAAATAAATAAATAAATGTTTATTCAGGTAAGGTACATACATACAAGAGATTTTACAAGAATTGATAGATTTATAGATAGAGCCAGTACATACAATGCCTAAAGCCACTATTACGCAAAGCGTTTCGGGCAGGAAAAACATTAATGACTAATACTTAATACTAATTAAGTATAAAGAATAAAATGTGTTGAGAACAAATAAAAATAAAAATAAAAAAGGTGGGAACATGGCTGAAAAAGCAGCACAAATACAATTAGGTCGACAAACAGCGTTGTTTAAAAAAACAGATACATAGTAGATGTATAAAAACATGCGCATATTCAAATGCAACGTTGGGTCAAAATTTCAAAGCAATCGGTGAAGAACTTTTGGAGATGAGCAATGTTGAACAAACGAACATTTCCATTTTTATTTATATAGATTATTATTATTATAATCAAGCAAACCTTTGACTTAAAGGAAAAGAACATATACAGGTCCACTACAGGCTCACCATAGCCAACACTACTTGGAACTTTTACTCTGAGTAGCTGAATTTAAAACAACAGCAGGAATAGAAGATAGTGATTGAACTGTGTAAATCTTTGGTGTGCCCCAACTTGGATTATTGTATTCAAGCATGGAGACCCAATCTTCAGAAGGACATGGCTGCTCTGGAGAAAGTGCAACACCAGGCAGCAAAAATCCATCCAGAGGACCACAGGGCTAACACTGCAAACCAGGCATGACAGATCTCAATGAAACTTTTAAATACTGAACAATTTGGAGGATGTTGATCCAGACAACAATCTTAAAAGATCAGATGTAACACAAACAAGGAGCAACAGTTTCAAGCTCAACAAGCCACAAGCCAAAAAAAAAAAAACTAGCAAACGAGGGAAATTATGAGATCAGAAAATTCCTAAGAGAAATACACAGACAGACCTCAGAACCAAGACCGTACAAGACGTGGACTGTCACCCAAAAGTGTCAGGAGACAGTAAACAGGTTTATCATGCCTAAAAAGAAAAACATGAGAAGCGAAAGAAGAATCCATGGATTAATAAGACATGTATGGAAGTAAGAGAAAGGAACAAAAGGGCATGGAGAAACTTCCGAAATAACAGAACAGCAGAAAGCAGAGAGCGAGATACCAGAGAGCCTGGATTGAGTGTCAGTGTGAGAAGAGAAGCAGAGACGGTATGAAAACGATATAGCAAATAAAATGAAGACCAAACCAAAGCTGCTCCACAGCCACATCAGGAGGCAAACAGTGAAAGAACAGGTGATGAAACTTAAAATGGGTGAGTACAGGTACATAGAGAATGACAGAGGTATGTGAAGAACGAGAGATTCCAGGACGTCTTCACAATAGAACGAGGTGAAGTCCTTGAGCTAGGAGAGGTAGCAGTAAACCAGGAGGCCTTGGAAGGGTTTGAAATTACCAGAGATGAGGTTAAGAGGCATTTGTTGGATCTGGATGCGAGAGAGGCTGTTGGTCCAGACGGAATCTCATCATGGGTACTGAAAGTGTGCAGAAGTACTTTGCTTGCCACTCTCCATGGTGTACTGGAGATGGGAGACTTACCAGAAATATGGAAGACAGCTAATGAAGTCCCAATATTCAAAAAGGGTGATAGGCAAGAGGCACTGACCAACAGACCAGTGTCAACTTGTATACCATGCAAGATGGAGAAGATCGTGAGAAAAAACCTAGTAGCACATCTGGAGAGAAGGGACTTCGTGACACCACCAACATGGGTTCAAGGATGATAAATCTTGCCTCACAGGTTTAATAGAATTTTACGATCTGGTGACAAAGAAACAAGAGAGAAAGCTGGGCAGACTGCATTTTCTTGGACTGTCGGAAAGCCTTTGGCACAGTACCCGATAAGAGGTTGGTGCGTAAGTTAGTGAAACAGGCAAGAGTAACTGGCAGGGTGCTTCAGGAGATTAGAGAGTCCCTAAGCAATAGGAAGCAGTTACTGTGGGTGGGGAAGAAGGGGGGGGGGGGGGGAAGGCCAGGCCAGACCTCAGATTGGTGTGAAGTCACAAGCAGAGTTCCACAGTGTTCTGTACTCAGACCTATCCTGTTTCTGATATACTGTATATAAATGATCTTCCAGATGGTATAGATTCGTTCCTCTCAATGTTTGCTGATGATGCCAAAATTATGAGACTGATTAAGACAGAGGACTGTAACATATGATTATGTTACAGTGATGGGTAGATTAGATACACGGTGTTTAGTGGGTTTTCATATTCATTTTAGTCTTGGTTACAGCAGTCGGTTGTTGGCAGTGTCGTTGACGTTGAGACAAAACTTGGAGCAGAGCAGAGAGCCGAGTGTGGCCAGAGTTGCGGAGCTCTATGTGGGAGAGCGTGGCGTCTCGATGCGGAATGGCGAGTGTCTAAACTCTGACACCGAGAGCGTGGCAGCTCAATGCGGTCAAAGTCTGCTGTCTGCTCTGTATCGAAGCTGGAGCGTCTTGGGGTCGATTAGAACTGCATATGACGAGTGCTACAGTCTTGAGGTTGAAGGTGTAGTAACTCCGAAGCGTCTGAATTGAAGTTAACCAAATCACTGGAAATTATACCGATTAAACGCTTCTTGATTGCTTATATTATTGGACTACACCTCAGCTTCCTCCAATAGAATGGAAGGAATGTTACCTGTAATTATGGAAAAGATTTGATTGATGTCCTTAGTGCTAATGACAGGTTTGCTTCTCATTTAGCTAATGAGTTTGGAGCGAGTAAATTGTTTACATAATTTATTCGCCACAGGACAGCATAAGACTTACCTGGACAAACAGAAGGAATGGTCCAACGAATGGTTGTTAGAGTTTAACCTTACCTTGAGGTTACCTTGAGGTTTTTAGTGCAACCTGAGCAAATGTAATGAAGATAAGTGTAGGGAGCAGGAGGCCAGATACAAGGCATCATCTGGGAGATGAAATTCTTCTAGAATCAGAGAGAGAGAGAGAGAGAGGGTTGATATCACACCAGACCTGTCCTCCAAAGCCCACACCAAGCAGAAAACATCAGCGGCATATGCCAGATTAGCCAACATAAGAACAGCCTTTAGAAACTTGTGTAAGGAAGGAATCATTCAGAACCATGTATACAATGTATGCCAGACCGATCCTGGTGTATGTAGCTCCAGCACCGAGTCCATATCTCATCAAGCATTAAACTAAATTGGATCGAGAAGGTTGAGAGGTTTGCCACCAAACTAGTGACCAAACTAAGGAGCATGAACTATAAGGAGAGACTACGGGAATTAAACCTCACGTAGCTGGAAGACAGGAGTGTTAGGGGTGACATGATCACCACATACAAGATTCTCAAAAGGAATTGATATGAAGATAGACAGTTTAACACAAGGGGCACATGCACTAGGGGACACAGGTGGAAACTGAGTGCCCAAATGAGCTATGAAGACATTAGAATTTTTTTTAGTGCAAGGTTAGTTAATAAATGGAATGCATTAGGAAGTGATGTGGTGGAGGCAGAAGTCATACATAGTTTCAAGTGTAGATATGACAGAGCTCAATAAGCTCAGGAACCTGCACACCTGTCAATTGATTGTCGAGAGGCGGGACCAGAGCCAAAGCTCAACCCCCGCAAGCATAACTAAGCGAGTACAACTGCGGGAATATAATGCAAGACTGAGAACAGATGTTCTTTTACCAACAGGGTTATAAATCTAGTAAACCACCTACCCGCCGAAGCCTTAAACTCTTAAATTTCAAAATCCAACTTAAAGAGATCAGGGAAAATAGGGGGAACGTTGACAAGCCGCCGGCTTAATGTCCTCGTCGAGGCCACTAGTGTTAGTGGCACTCGGGGTAACCTTTTGCCTTACTCCTCGGGTTTGGTCAGTGGTCAATATTAAGTATACTAAACTTGAATTTAGTTCATTTAATATTAAAAACTGGTCTTACATACTTGGACTTAACATACCCATACTCGTCAGTGATGTCAGAAAAATATATTAGCAGACTAAATATGTAAGTAGTAAACAAAGTTAGTGCAAGCCCCCTGACCTTCCATTCAGAGCTCAAGTGTTGGGGCAGTTCCGCCATTGTCACAATCCGCCCTAATCTCTTCTCAATTTCTGGCTTTTTATCCACCATGAAGTAGTAAAATTCGTTTCTCTGTTGTTTTTTCCGTCCCATCTTGAAGGTGGAGGGTGGAGACAATCTGGTGCAGGCGAGTAAAGGCTGCAGGAGGTAGAGCGACGAGGAGATAACAGCCCGAGCCGGAGCGGGTGACGCGTGCTATCTGGCGAGGCGTGAGGCAATGACCCGAGGGTCACCAGCGCCACCTCTCACCTACTTCAAGTCGCCTCTTACAAATAAATAAATAAATGTTTATTCAGGTAAAGTACATACATACAAGAGGTTTTACAAAAATTTATAGATTTATAGATAGAGCTAGTACATACAATGCCTAAAGCCCACTATTACGCAAAGGGTTTCGGGCAGGATACTCTTCAAGCTCTATTACTCACGAATCTGTAATAAAAGGATCCCAATATTTTGTTTACCGACTCATACGGTTTTCAGCAATTTAATTTTTTTCTTTTTTATTATTCACCCCATCCCGTGGGCGGTGGTGTAAAGGGTTACAGAGGCACATAAGCGGTGTAAAACTGAACCCCTTAGTTCCTTTAGGTAAGCAAATAATAATCTTTTGACGCTAGTTACACAGTTATTAATGTTATATATACTCGTACATATACCCATATATATATATATATATATATATATATATATATATATATATATATATATATATATATCACCTACACAAATACACACACATCAATAATCTTTTGTATTACAAGTGATTCAACAAGAGGCTCACAACAGCACTATACAAGGCACTTTACATATATGGCGAGTCGCACAGTTACTAGTCGTGCTCCACACTCACCTAACTGGACGGCAGCTTTACAGTCATGTGCAGGCTGCAACTATAGTAAGCAAATTTTGGATACTTCGCTAAGATTCCTGGCAGTACATCATTATGAATGAAGTACTTACACATTTCTTTGACTCCATTGATGGTGTTATCTCTGAATTCCGCGATTTTTTTCACAATCCATCATATAATGATGCAAAGTATGCGAATAGTTCTGCTGTCAGAGTTTACATTTAGTCAAATCTACATCAGCAAATGTTACAAACTCCCAGAGGTACTTGTAGCCGAGCCTAAGCCTATCAGAGGTAACATCTAGAAGTCTGCTAACTTTATTGGATGACCCATAGACGTGCGGTTCTTCCTGCATCATAGAATGATGATAGATGTGAATTTCACTTTGCCTCAAGTCTGCGAGATTTTATTGATGATCCCGGAATATTACTGCCCTCAGGCTGCTCAAAGGCAGTCCAGGATTGTAATCAATTCCCTCTTTATGAGCAAAAGTCTTGGCCAACTCATCAGTTCTACCATGCATTCGAAGACCAGTATTGGAAGGAATCCACAGGAAACAAACTCTGACTCGATCATTGGTTATTTCATTATATCTGTATCTAGCTTCAGTGATAAGCACGTCACAGTTATTCCTTGGGGAGCTGAGGGCAGTCAAGGATGACAAGGAGTCACAATCAGCGTGTCAACTTTATAATCATGTACGCGCTCGAGGCAAGTATTATGGCAACCAATTCTGTTTGAAGAGTGGAGGCCCAGTTACTTATACACGTTCGACCACACTCATAGGAGAAGGAACCATCTCTCCCTGTCACAACAACTGCACTTCCAGCTGCACCATAAGACAGGTGCAAGGATCCATCAGTGTAAATAATCTGGGAAAGGGAGCGCTCTCTGACCAAAGCATCAATTTGGTTTAAGGCATTGTACTTTGCTTCTTGTCGAAACAAGGCTTGTTCTTTAATCAGCTTCTTGGGTGGGGAAAGGGAGGACAGTAATTTGGAAAGGAATGATCTCCCATGGGGCAGGAAACTGTTGTAGTTGTCTCTCTCGGAAGAGTTAGTTTAGTTCATTTATTATGCACCTCATACCCATCTTGTGGGCGGTAGTGGAAAGGGTTACAGAGGCACATAATGGGCTCAGGGACTGAACTCCACAATTCATTTACCTAACCAAGGAAGAGGTGATAAATATTATACATTCTGAGCACAGTGGCAGTTTTGGTAATCCATTTGGAGGGATGCTGACCTTCAAGAAAGAAGGCTTGGAGGGCTTCAGTGCAGGGGTTAGGGTGGGTTAGCCTAAGCATCTTGATACCAATTAGAGCATTAATTTCAGTGATACGATCACTTACACATGAAATATTCAGTTCCTTGCTCATGTTTAGTAATTTAGTTGTACGGGGGCATCCGAGGATAATCCTCATGGCCGGTTTTCAGCGTAATATATTTTATTACATAGAGTATACTACAATATTTTTAGTTTTATTAAAATTATCACTGCACGTATAATGTTTATTATTAATCAATAAGGTCTTCTTTTACATCCACAACCTCATTTTACAATAGACTTTGGGTGGTTCAAATGATGAGCACTAAGTCCCGCTTTCTTCATATATATTTTTTGATTCTCAAGATTGATATCACAAGTTCTATATAGTCCCATTCGATTTCTCAGCTTAGTTTTCATAGATGTTACTCTTGAAAATACTCATTCCCTGCGTGATCAGGATGCAGAATTCTTCTGATCATTCCAAGTGATTTTTTTTATTATTAGCAAGCTTAGGTAGACACAACAATGTGCTGCTACCCTATTTTATATGAATGATTACACAGTGTAGATAATAAACTAGCTATAAGTTCATTTACTATTTCCATCTCACACTGTGGTTAGTCATACATGGAATCAGGAGACTAATTACCTGCCTCAGTACAAAAAAAAAATTAAATTTGACTAAATAATAACTTTGTGACATTCATAAGAGCTAAGCACTGAATCGTGGAAATATTATATTATAATAATTTTTTTTACAAGATTCTATAAGATTCCACTCAAATGTCTTTTTTTTTTAACAAGCTTTTATAGCGAGTAAACCTTATACTCGCTCCATTATCTCATCATCTTAATGGCGTAACTAATTAGCACTAACTACACAAGCTATAATCCTTTCCCTATTTACAGGTAACAGTTCTTCCATCCTCCTATCTTATTGGAGGGAGCTAAGGTGTAGTCACCATATATATAAGCAAGCAATATGAGAATAGCATCCTCGGGAGACATCTCCCGTCACGCTGGGTGCAGTCGCACCTCCACAGATCTCCAGTATCATCTATTGATACTGGTAATGGCTCAAAAAGGCCTCCACTTACGGGCTATTCATGCCCCTGCCACCTTTTGGGTGGCTTAATCATCATCAATCAATCAATCGAGAATAGTTAGTAAATGGGTACCTGGGAGTTAGACAGCTGCTACGGGCTGCTTCCTGGGGGTGTGTAACAAAAATGAGGCCTAGTCGAGGACCGGGCCGCGGGGACGTTAAGCCCCGAAATCATCTCAAGATAGGAAGCTCATCCAACATCCCCATCTCACAGGACGACTAGTCATACATGGAATCAGGACAGAACATGGAATGTAAGGCTGATCTTTTAGCCTCCACTAGCAAAATCTGGTACAGCACAAGAATATCTTCCAATATTACTGAGCGTATGAAGTAATTACAGAGCTCCAGGTACCTCATACCATTAGGTCTGAAGTCACTGATAACAGGGCAATCACAGATATAGTGTTGGAGAGTATGTCCCAGCTCTTGTTTACACAGTTTACAATTGGAATGTTCACCATTGAGGGATTCATTACCTGCAGCCACCTGCCATAGATATCGATATCCCGGCCTAATTTTGGCAATTACAATGTCACACTGTCTAGTGGGTGTCTTATGCTGCCCGTACATATAATTCTCGGTTCTAAACCTAGAAGAGGCACTCTTTATACTCGTGGTTTCTGGCCTTTGAGTGTCAGTAATTGCTCTTCTGTCATCCCTAATTTCCTAAAATATTGCGGCTTTAATAGCAGAGATTATAATGCCCATATCCCACTCAATTTCAGGCTTATCACATGCAGTTTAGTTGCCTTGTCTGAGTCGTCATGCTGGACAACACCAACGTCAGATGGTATCCATATAAATGAGACTGAAACTCTTGCTCTTTGCATTAAAAATGTTGTTTATAATGGATGTTACAACATTCCTAGTATCTATTTTGCATGTTGAGTTTGAAGAGCTGACTTTGAATCACAGAAAATTACTCCTCCACTGTTCTTCAGTGCGTTAGTGGCAAGTTGTAGTGCAGCTAATTATGTATGTGTGGAGCTAAATTAAGTCAGTTATTTCCTCACACTTGTGGTCTGTGTACATATGTTGTCTTTGTATACTCTACAGGCCGCTGCAGTGCGACCTGTTGACATTTGAACAGACCCATCAGCGTAACCGGTGCTCGTGAAATCGTAAAAGGACTCAATAGTTAGTGTTGTTACTTTCAGGAGTGCTGGGGTCTCCTTACTCTTTTTGCTGATGGGCGTGTAAGACACTTGTCTTTCAGGGTACAGATATAATGGAATATCATTATCTAGTACACTGCGTACAATAGGAATATTCAGTTTAATGAGATCGGCAACACTTCTACTCAACCAGCTTGCACATAGGTTGCCCGCTGGTGCGTTGGCAACACTCTCCCGCCTGCAAAAAGAACTAGTTAGTTTTTCTCTAAGTATTAAGGATGATGTTGGATCTCTCATCACTCTTACACGGAAGGTAGTACTGAGCTGTTTAATTCTTTGACATATGGTTGGGAGTTTCAGATCCTCCCTCATGTTGATGATTCTTGTGCATTTGGGGGCTCCAAGAACTATCTTCATGGTTTCAGTTTTAATTTTCTCTAAAGCTTTCAGCCTATTACTCGGGAGATTAATAAGGTACAGGGCATGGTAATGACCTAATAAACATCATGTAGAACATTCTGGCATATTTGACGTTAATTAATACCAATGTGATTTCCAGCAAGCGTTTTAAGGTACTAGGTAGGAATCTATGAGAATGAGATTAAGCACTTTTTTCTTTTACTTTTGAAAAAGGCGTAGGTTGGACAGATTTTCAATTCGTTAGGGAGTAAGTTCCATAGACTAGGTCCCTTTATTTGCATAGAGTGTAAATTAGTTTACACTGATTTAGTTTGACTTTGAGAATGTCAAAGAAACATTTATTTGAGTGTGGTGACTATGGGTTCTATTACATTTGTCAATGAAGTGTTTCAGATCAGGATTTGTATCTAAGAACAGGGTTTTGTACATAAAAACGGCACAAGACAATATGTGGAGTGAG